GATGGAGCTGTGCGGGGGAGATGTAGGCAGGCCCAGGTGTCCTCCGCTCACAGGAATGGCTCCGCTCACAGAGGGGACACTCAGCTGGTCCATCCCCACTGGACTCAGGTTCATGTCATTCATGCTGGGAGCAGGAACACCGCAGGGTCACCAGGGGCAGCAGCGTGCGGCTTCCGACAGCGTCTCAGGACAACACACTAACCCGCAACTGCATCCCCGCCTCCTTTCCCGCTGCAAGCCGAGACCCTGAGCGGGGACAGCGGGGACTCACAGGACGCACATCGCTCCTGCCTCCTTGCCAAGAGCCGGGCCGATGAGAAACACCCTGCGGGGTTTCAAGTCGTCAGGAAGACGTCACCCGTGTCCCTTGCCACGGTCTTGCAAAAGCAGGGTCGTGAGCGGTCTACAGGTATGTCTACACGGAGGGGGGCCGTGTGGGAGTCCTCCTGCTATTGGGGAGCACAGTGTACCTCCCCACACACACAACCCACTGACCCTGAACTGCGCTGACACCCTCCCGCTCGGTCAGAAGAGGGGGACGCGAAATCGACCACGGCGGCGACGACGACAACAACAAAACGCAATGCAATGTTGAGAAGACGCGTCAACGGAGACAGCGGTTTGTCTTTTTTTTCCCCTTCCCACGACATGAATGCACCCTGGTGTTTTGACCGCCGGCTCTGCCCCCAGTAGGCGCTCGGTATCACCAGGTGTTCAAACAGACCGGAGCAGGATGTGGCGAGTCTCCTCTCCCACCGGTGGGCTTGGGCGACGCAGCGTACCCGCGGCAGACCCACGGGGCGTGCATCCGACAGCGAGACGGACAACGGACTGACTCGGACGACGTACGTACTTCTCACACGTTAAAAAAAAAAAAAGCCCGACACGGTTCAAACCCCGATGAAATGCACATTTCGTGCCGGCAGAGAGCCGGAACACAGTCCCTACAGTCTATCCACGCAAAGGCTCCCCTGAGATGCCGCGTACTAACCCACGAGCCTCCGGTTAAAGGGTCCGATATTATAGCCGGGCGCCGTACCATGCAAAATAAATAAATTGCAACAGATACCCCCCAAAACTGACTTAAGTTAGCAGAAACCGCAAAAAGCAACAAGACTGCAGTCCAGGGCTGACTCCGCACTTAGAGAAAATCGGGTCTTCTCGCGTTCTCATTTTACCTACGGACGTCTCTTTCAACGCACCACAGCAGACACAACATTCTGCATATATATATATAAAAAAAACCCAAATGCCTACCCTTTCTCTTATATATTCGGCTTGGGAGCGAGTATCCCGAACAGCGACTGCTATCATTGTTGAGAGCGCTGCTTCTGAGCATGCCCACGCACAGGGATTGCGGTCAGTTTGCCTTGCATTTTAGCAAACGAACAAAAGAGGGAATTTGCTATTAAGATGACTGTACTGCACGGTAAGCTCTTGCACAGATTCTTTTAAAAGTATTTTCTTCTCACTTAAGCGTTTCTGTGTTTTTTTTTCCCCTCGCATACTGAAAGATAAAGCCACTACATGTTTTTTTAAAGTAAGAATTTGTAGACGAGCCCTTACCTGCTCAAATCCCACCCATTAAAAAGGAATAGGTTTGACGTCATGCCACTGAGAGTGACGATTGCCTGTTTTGCTGTCCGGAACCCCAGATGCTACCTCACAAGCAAGGTTCAAGAAACAACTTTTGAAGTTGTTCGTGATTTTTTTTTATCACGTTAAAAACGAACACTTGTTATATATTATTATACAGTTTGTAACACGTAATATGGAAAAAAAATATTATTTAGTTGTATCATATGCAGAAAGCAAAAAAAAATGCAGAATGCATTTCAATTTTTAATTTAGATTTTAATTTTTTGGTGTTCTGGGTTGTAATTCCCTCTGGACGCGAAGTGTTTTGTGATTTTTGTGTTCACTTAACTTTGATTGGATACCTTTTTCTCATGTGTTTGTTTATTTGATGTTTCATACAAGTTTGAAAAAAAGTAACTTCTTGTGCCGAATTTCAGCGGAAGGATAAAAATAAAAACAGCAGGTTGAGTACTTTAGCTAGCCATCTGAAACCGTCGGTTAATTGTGCAAATATAATACTTTTTAAAACATTAATATGTGAATTATTTCACTGTGAACAGCTGATAAATTCAGGCTCCACAAACAAATGTTATTAAAACGTATACGATCATTTACGAACTCTGTAGTAGCAGTAGTGAGCAGAAAACATACATAAAAACTGTGTGAAACTGGCTGTAATTTATTCAACATTTCAGATAAATGACTGAAGACTGGTTGGTTAGGGAGGAAAAAAATCATGTTACAACTCCTGTGCAGACACGACCGGCCACGATTTCCACAACCTGAACTGCAAATCAAGCATAGCATTAATTACTCCATAATGAGTGTGGAAAGTACGAAGGGATACACATTACAGCGTACTCCGAAAGAGACATGCGTCACCCGTCATATAAATAACATCCAAATCCTTTTTTTGTCATCCCGGTTTAAAAAATAAAAAAGGAAATAAATTGAGATATCCCTCACACGCTCTCATTCCAAGAACATCCCAGGAATTGAAAGAAGAACTTACTCACTTTAAGTAATTCACAAAATGTCTCCTTTGGGATAGATTTTCAAATAGACGGTCGTCTACGATTTATTTATTCATGTATTCGCTGCTTAACGTGTTGTCGTAGCTACAGATTTAGGATCCTAATAAAGTTGTGTTGTTGGTTTTTTTTTTGTTAAGGCAGCGGAATAACAACACGCAACTTTAAAATCCTTGTAGTTGTAAATCGTTATATTACGCGTCTTGTTATTCCGAGTACTTTTATAAGCCCCCGCTGACTGTTTTATTAGAGTAGGGACATCGGGTCATCAGGGCATTGCTCTAGCTGATAAAAAATATATATATATAAGGATTGTGCGGTTAAACTGGACTGATTTCAAAACGAGGAAACTCCGCGCCAATCGCCCCTGTGAAACGGCAGTGAGGAGTGAAAAGGATGGGAACGGGCTCTGTTTGTGAGGGTCGGAGAGCCGAGGTGCTCCAAAGCGAAGGGCGCCTGCTCTCGGGATGACTTTGTTGAGTTAGAATCTGCACCACCGCAAACCCCACTGTTGGTGTTATGTGCCTGGTATTGAGCTATAGGTATTCGGTTCCCACCCAGGAACCTGTCCGCCGTGTGTCGGGGTCGGTTATCTCCCCTCAGGGCAGCGTGGTGGGCGATATCTGCTCCTAAGCTATACTAATGCTCCTAAGCGTTAAAGGCACGGATGATCACCGGGGAGGTGAAACGGAGATGTCATGACCGGCAGTCCATCGCAGGGCCAGTGCAAGCCAATCATACATGGGTACAATTTGGAGGCCACGGTAAAGATAACCCCCTACTCTTCTCGAGAAATGCCCGGGATCTTTAATGACCACAGAGAGTCAGGACCTCGGTTTGACGTCTCATCCGAAGGACGGCGCCTGTTTACAGTCTAGTGTCCCCGTCACTATACTGGGACATGAGGACCCACACAGACCGCAGGGTGAGCGCCCCCTGCTGGCCCCACTCACACCTCTCCCAGCAGCAGCCTCAGCTTTCCCAGGAGTCTCCCCTCCAGGTACTGGCCAGGCTCCCACCTGCTGGGCTCCAGTGGGGGGCTGCCAGCTGGGAGCTGCAGGGGGACACGGCTGCCGGCTCGAACCCACTTCTTTTCTTTAAAAAAAAAGTGAATGTGAGAGGAGGGCACAGCTGTAGGCCGTCTGCGGTGTTTTTTTGTCCCTTTCTTTTGATCTCATCTCATCTACCTGGCTCAAAAAAAAAAAACAAACAAGGCACGACGCTCAGAAACCGCCCTCCTGCTACAGCGTCAACGGCACCGCCTGAAAAAGCGCTCTGAATGACTGACAGGCTGGAGGGGGGAGGTGGGGAGACACGGGGTCCGGGTCTTGCTTCCCGGAACCTGGAATTCCAGAACTTTTGTTCCTTTTGCACACCCAGGAGGGTGCCGCCAGCCTGCCCTCCTCGTCCGCGGTCTTTGACGGGATTATACGGCTCCCTGAAGGGGTGGAAGCGCTCTGGGGGGGACGTCCGACCGGTAGGTACTGTCGATCCCCAGTTCCGACATGAGTTTGAAAAAGCTCCTTTTCGCGCTGCGCGTCCTAAGCTTTGTCTTAGCTGGGACGGCAAAGAAAAGTTTATTATTATTATTATTATTATTATTATTATTATTATTATTATTATTGTCACCTTTGGAGAGGAAGCGTGCTGCGGTGAGGGTACAGGGGTGAATACGCGCTCAGCCGGACACCTGGACACCTGGACATTGTCCAAACAAGGGCTCTGGGTTCGCCAGCAGAAGATCTCAAGGTCGCGGTGTCCTAGAACTGTCAGGCTGAGACACAAATTACCTTGAGAGCAATTTTTTTCTTATTTTCCCTAAAGGATCGCCCTTTTCAACCCCTTCCAGTACATGTTCACCTTTGATGCAACTATTTCTTTAGATCGAAGAAAACACACACACAAAACAAAAACACAAACAGCGAATTCCAGTCTATGTCAGGCTCCCCGTGACCCTGCATTGGATGGAAGTCGTTAGAAAAATGCAGAGATGTAACAGAAAAAAACATGCGATATCTTTCACTTTTCGGTTTTGCGTTTTAAAAAACAAATCGCAAGAGGAAATCACACAGACAAACCTGTGGAGGCAAGGTGATATTCTGTGGCTAAAACGCCAGAACAGTGAATACATCCAGTCATACTGCAGATTCCTGCGATGAACGTTAAATTTCAAAACAATTAAGGCTATGGTGGTATTCCAAGGACCTGGATTTCGGGATTACTCTTGGATCTTTTATTGTAAAAGAGAAATCTTTCGTGATTCGTTTCCCAGTCGTGGATGTTTTACACGGAACTTTCAGGTTCCGGTTTTTTTTTGTGTAGAATCCACAAACATACAGGACAAACACGAAACCCAAACACGACAGTCTCGCCTATCGACGGTGAGACGCTTTCACAGCCGCAAAGATAGATAGCTTTAGGATGTCAGAATAAAGGCTTTCAATATCCACGCCAACAGCACACACGAGGCACTGAACCTGATTTCTTACAGTGTCGGACCAAAGAAATCTTGTTTTCTTGGCGAGTCCATAGACATAAGCGAGCGTCACAAAGGTGACAGACCTGACAAACACAATCTGCCGGGTTTGGCATGTAGTGGGGTTTTGCGGTCGTGTTCTGAGAGTGGTGTCCAGTCTGAGTCCTGGAGCGCTGGTGTTTGTGCAGGTGCCCTCTCTCTCTTTCAAGCAGCTAAGAGCAGCTGGTCAAGACCAGCAGACACACTGACTGACCCTGCAGGACCAGGACTGGACACCCCTGTCCTAGAGCCAGGACCCTGCCTGGAGGCTCTGATTGGCTCATGAAGGAG